AGTTTTGGCTAGTGTTCTGTCTTACAATTTAACAGCTTTGCTATTTTTTCATAAATCTAAAAGAAATACAATAAATACATGAATCAAAAGTTAGATATTACAAGAAAACAAAAAATTAGTAATCGAAAAGAAAAAAAATTTATATAAATTATATTTATTATTAGGCAAAAGACTACGAATTTTTTTGTTGTATTTATAGTTAAGTTATAAATTAAGATTTGAGGTTAGTACTAGAGGTTTTAGTTTCGCAAAAAAATAAAAATAAAAGCAATTGAATAAAATAAAAAAAACTTGAGTTTTGCAAGAAAAAAATAGTATCAATCTAATAGAAAAAGAAAATTATGTAATATATACGTACTATTATTGAATAAAAATATATGAATTGATAAAAATAAAGATCAAAATTGCATATTTCTGTTTTATAATAAAATTATAAAAGAATGTCTTTTATTCTTTTTTTTTGTAACTCTTACTCATGGTTTCTTGTGATGAGCGTAGACTTGAAAACACAGAATATAAAAAAAATTTTTATGTAAATGATCAAAAACTGTTTTGTATGTTTTGTCAACACATTGTGGATTATACAAAAAAATTAATATTGAATTTACATTTAAAATCTGACAAACATAAAAACAATATTAATAAAGCTGAAAAATTAAAATTAATCTGCCAAACAACTCTTGATACAGTTAATATAAATTCAATTGAATGTAAACTTATTAATATTGCTTTAGTTAATGCATTTACTAAAGCTGATATTCCTTTATATAAAGTTGATAAACTTAAAGATTTTTTTTTAGAGTATTGTAGAAATGGTAAATTATTATATTTAATATATATTTTATTTATTAAAAAATTAATTTACTTTTATTTAGATGGTGCTATTGCAAGTTCACATCAACTTCATGTTAAATATTTACCAAAAGTATTCAAAATAGAAGTTTTAAAATTACAAGATTTTTTAAAAAATAAATGAATTTCTATTACTGTAGATGAAACTACAGATGCATGCAGTAGAGCTATTATTAATATTTTATTTAGTTTTAACAATCAAACCAAACTTGTTAAAACAGAATTTATTACTACCATAGATAGTACTTCGATTGCCCAATTAGTTATAAAAACTTTACAATTCTATAATATTTTATTTGAAAATCTTGTTTTTTTTATTATTAATAATATGGCATATATGCTAAAAGCTTTTCAAATTATATCACCATTAATTCCACAATTAAGACATAATCATTGTTTAGCTCATATTTTAAACTTGGTTAGTAAAACATGAATTCAATATAAAAATTTTCATTTTTTAGTTAACATTGCTAAAAATATCAAAGCATCTTTTATTCAAAGTCTAGTTCGTAAAAGATGTTGGATTAGTTTTTTAAAATCTAACTCTAATTCGTATTTATTTTTATTAGATAATAATAATCGAATTACTTTACCACCCTTACCTGTTAAAACATGATGAAATAGTTGGTTTAGATTTGTTTTTTGGATTAATCAAAATCTTAACCAGTTACATTTATTTTATATTGAAGAAGAACAGATTAATAATGAAAATCAAACAATTCAAGAATTAGCAACTATTTTTAAAGATCATACGAATATGTTTATTTTTGAAGTTTTGGCTATGTTTATATTATTTAATGCAATATGATAAATATTACTATTATCATTACTGTTTTATTTATAAAATAATTTAATACTAATTTTATTTTATTTAAGTCTTGTAGAAGATCTTGAATTTTTTGAAATTAGAAAAAAACCTGTTGTGCCATTTGTAACACAATGCTTAACACACCTTGAAGCTTTACTACAATTAGGTATTATTGAACCTCCTATTAATGAAGAAATCAAATCTAAATTTGAAAATAACCATTTTGAAATAAAATCGTATATTACAATGTTTCATAAGGCATATCAATTAGCATTTAATAAGTTTAAAAAACATATCGATTAACATCCTGCATTGTTCTTATTTAAAGCGATTCAATGCTTTGATCTACGATTTATTCATATTCAACAAAATCATCAAAATATTTCTTTATATTTAGAAATTCCTGAATCTAAATTACCAAGCAATTAAATAATTCAAGAGTGGAGAATTTACTGTGGGTTAAATGAAGATTTTTCTGACATTGACAATTTTGATTTAGATATTTATTGTATTTCTTTTAGATTTATGAAAAAATAGCAAAGCTGTTAAATTGTAAGACAGAACACTAGCCAAAACT